GCCCCACCGCTATATTTACCTGCACAGCTGCAGGTACCAGTGATTGCAGCTCCAGTTGGCTGTAGACTGCCATTTGTGGCCAACAGGAGCTGTGATCACTGGTACCTGCAGCCTTGATGGTAAACATAGCAGTGGCGACCTACCAGGGATAACTCTGATGAACCACTGCTTGTGTTATTGCCCAACCCTGGTCTATAATGCACTATGCCTATCCCTGAACCATCCCCCTCCTCTCTCCCTCTGTCGCTCTCACCCACTCCCCTCGCCATCTTCCCCCCACATCCTTTGAATATCCCTTCTCAACCCCTGGATCTCATGAACCTCAACGAAGTTGTTTGGTAAGATGATTTTGTTAGATAATGATTCAGAAACGTATGTCATAGAATCATAGAACTGGAAGAGACCTCAGTAGGTCATCAAGTCCAGACCCCTGCTCTAGGCAGGACCAATCCCAACTAAATCAACCCAGCCAGGGCTTTGTCAAGCCGAGACTTAAACACCTCTAGGGATGGAACCTCCACGTCATAAGGATATTTTTGCTCATAATGAAAATATAGTCAAATTAAGCAAAGATTCCATATTAAAACAATGTATTGAAGCATTTGATTCCAAAGTTATGACTAATTCATCAGTCATTAAGTTTGTAGGCCAAGATCTGACTTCCTTTAAAAACTTATGTTTTATATTATGGGCATCTGAAATATCTGTAAAGCCACCAATAAAAATATTAATGTACAGAAGTAATCGTACCTTCACAGCTCATCTGAAGGAATGCCCTCTGAAAGTATCTGCCTCTAGAGCTGCGAGTTCTTAACTCCACCAAGGAAGTACTGAACATATTGTAGGATCATACTTGAAAATGTCCCATCTCTTAGCACCTCATCAATATGAGCCTACATCTTCTTTTGTAATGTGGGGCCATCAGTGCTACTACTGACTGACTTACATGAACATTTAGTGCCTGATTCTGTATCTCTGATGTTAGTGGGAATTTTATCAGTTTGCCATTGAGTGGAATTCTTTGGTCTGCATTATGCAGGAGGTCACTAAATGATCATATAATGGTCCCCTCTGGCCTTGAAATATGGGACTCTACAAATCATCAACTCCAATGGACACAGGATTAGACCTTTGCTGGAAGCTACCTCTTACATGAACTGATCAACCTACATAATGTAGGCATTAGGATCCAGTTATTAATTAAATTGTAATTTTTATAGCACTAATAGCATAGTAGTTAGCAGTATTATTCACTGCTTAATTCTGTAGAGTTTGCATGCACAGTTGCTTGATGTGTGTACAAATGTCTTTCCCTGTGTGTTTGTGTTTTTCCTAATATGTAAACTGCACTGCACTTTTGAAATTGATCTATCTAATATATTTTTCAGTCCTTCACACCACATGTTTGACAGCGGGGTGGCAATTATGGAAATACATGGGCTATTTCTGGCTCTTCCATGCCTTCTGTATACACCAAGGGTGGGGAACCTTTCTTGGGTTGAGGGCCACTGACCCAAAGAAAAATTAGTCAGTCAGATCCAGGAATGCTTGGGGCTGTATCTGGTCCCTGAACCTTAGATTCCCCACCCTTAGTTTACACTAATGCAAATCACCCTCTCTGTGCCTCTCTAATGTGGGGATAAAAATGCTTTCCCACTTCCCAGGGATGTTAGTAAGGCTTAAGTTATTAGCAGGGACAAAGTACAGCTGGCCCAATCTGAATAGACAATGAGGGGAAAAGGTTATAATCCTTGTATCCAATCCAATCCTTGTAGCCATGCAGATCCAGTCATCTTGACCCTTACTTTCCTTACATGAAGCAAAATGCAGGACAATGTAGCACTTTAAAGACTAACAAGATGGTTTATTAGATGATGAGCTTTCGTGGGCCAGACCCACTTCCTCAGATCAAATAGTGGAAG